ATAGCAACGTGTGATCTAAGTAGACGTGATGGTATAAGCTCACTCAGGTATTGAGGAGCGAGGCTGTAGAAGAATTTTGTACTCAATTCAGAAATGAATTGGCAACCAATGTAGGTGTGATAAAACTGGGCTGAGATGGTCAAACATTCTGGTTCTTGTGAGGACTCTGGTTGCAGCGTTCTGGACTAACAGAAGCTTGTTAAGGCTTTTGCTGGAATATCCAGACAGCAGGGTATTACAGTAGTCCAGCCTCAAGGTAATAGAGGCGTGAACTAGCTTTTCCACATTGTGTAGAGACCGTGCATTTCTTAATTTAGCACTATTGTGAAGATGAAGGAAAGCTATTCTAATAATATTGCTTATATATCGCTGCTGTCGCAAACCAAACCTCTTATCTCCATTTTTGACATTTTTCAGTTTTTGACATAATTTGAAAATGCCTGTTGTACTACATTGTGTGGAAATTTCATGATGAATGAACCAAAACAAATGGCCCAGATTTACTTGAAAAAGCTTCTGGTTCTACTGACTTACATTAAAAGTAATGTATGTTTTTTCCTTCTCTTGTAAAGTTACCATATTGGAGGTACAAGGTTTTGTTCTGACAACAGCGATCTACTTTGAAGGACAGATCAGGATCGACTGTCACGCCAAGGTTTTTTACAGATGTGTCTGATGAAACTGACGCTATGAAGATTAAGCATTATGAAGATTAAGCATTAACTTAGACAGTTTGTTTCTTGCAGCTTTTGGACCAAGAAGAAGAACGGCTGTTTTGTCTGAGTTGAGTAGGAGGAACTTACTTGACATCCAGTCTTTTATATCTTTTACACAGTCCTCAATCCTATTAAGTTGAGTTTTATCATCTGATTTGGCTGATAAGTACAATTACGTGTTATCAGCATAGCAGCGTAATTGATGCTATGTTTACTGATAATGGTACCCAGTAGACGCACATACACTGATCAGACATAACATTATGACCACCTCCTTGTTTCTACACTCATTGTCCATTTTATCAGCTCCACTTACTATATATGTGCACTTTGTAGTTCTACAACTACAGACTGTAGTCCATCTGTTTCTCTGCATACTTTGTTAGCCCCCTTTTACCCTGTTCTTCAGTGGTCAGGACCCCATGGACCCTCACAGAGCAGGTACTATTTGGGTGGTGAATCATTCTCAGCACTGCAGTAACACTGATGTGGTGGTGGTACGTTAGTGTGTGTTGTGCTGGTACGAGTGGATCAGACACAGCAGTGCTACAGAGGTTGTTTATCATGGACAGAAGAGGCTTGGTTATTTCTGGCAAAATTTCTTTGAGTAGACTTGTAGGAAATGGGTCTAGTATGCAGGTAGAAGATTTTCAGAAAGAAATCATTTTAAGCCACTCTGGTTGTTGAAGTCTGGTTGTTTAAGGAAGGATTCCACCCTCTCTGCACTAGTTACACTGTACTCAACATCTGGATTAGCTTTGTAGGAAGCAGGTTTGTAGTGGTTAACTGCGCTTTTTGAATTTTTTAGCTGATTGTGTCAATTTTCTTATTGAAAAAATCAGGAACACATTGCTGCCATGGGCAGAGGGTATCTGAAGTTCAGGAACTGCTTGGTAGTTAATTTAGAGAATGTACTAAATAGCAGTCTAGGATTATTCTTATTATTTTCAATTAGAGAGGAGAGATAAGTTGAGCGTGCTGTAGTAAGTGCCCTTCTATAGTCTATAGACTATCCTTCCAGGCAGATTGGAATATTTCTAGTTTAGTCAGGCGCCATTTATGCTTTAGTTGTCTGACAGTCTGTTTTAAAGCTCGAGTATGTTCATTGCACCATGGGGCAAGCTTTTCTGCCTTATTCATTTACCTTTTAGTGGAGTCACATTATCTAGTAGAACGAAAAGTGTTCTCTAAGCATTCGCACATAATATCTAATTTGGTAGTTTCAGACAAGCAGCTGAAGCTGATAGAAGCTGATAGATCTTGGAGGTTTTCGATAAAGCTATTAGCTGTGGAGGAGGTTATAGTCCGCTTGCATGGGGATGAACATATATTACGACTAAAGCGAATTTCATATGAGATTGGGTAATGATCTGAGACTGCTGTGCTCTGGGCGAGAAGGGCTAAATTATCTGTGTTTACACCAAAGGTCAGAATTAAGTCAAAAGTGTGGTTGCAATAATAAGTGGGCCTCATTAGATTTTGAGTGAAACCAACAGAATCTAAAATAGCAATTGCCTTACATACTGGATCCTGTGGTTTGTCAAAATGGATGTTAAAATCTCAGACAATTATTATTTTGTTTAAGAGTGTAACTTTATAGAAAATCAGCAAATTCCTGTAAGAACCCAGAATAGGGCCCTGGTGTCCTGTAGATTGTAATTAGTGAAAATGAATTCTAATCTCTCATGCTAAAAGAAGAATTTCAAAAAGGAGAATTTATAGCTTGCTTTTTGAATAGTACCTAAATCATTTGTATAAGTGGTTGCCATGCTTCCATCTTGGCCATTTATTAAGCTATGTACATAATTGTAGCCTGTGGGGGTGGTTTAATTTAGAGCAAAGTATTCTTCAGATCTAATCCATGTTTCTGTGAAGCATAGAGCCTCAAATCAAAATAACGATCAGTAATGATTTCATTTACAACAACGGCCTTATGTAAGGCATCTTAAGCAGTCCTAGTTTTAGAACAACGGTTCTGTCACTGCAAACTGGTTGAAATAGTCTGACATTGATTAGATTAGTAGAACAAATTTTTCAAGGTTTTCTGAAATGTTCTTTGTTTCTGGGAGCAGACTTAACTGAGCGATTATGATTCAGAGGGCTGCGATGCGATTATAAAACGATTATTGATGCATCTTTTTTTCTATACAGCATTTCTATTTTCCCACTGTCAGAGTTCAAGTTTCAAGTTTAAGTTTCAAGTTTATTTGCCATTTGCACAACATGTCAGGACATTTATGCATTGGAATGCTTGTGGTTAGGCTCAGGTAATCACTCTACAGAAAGTAAATAAGTAAAAATAAAAATACAAGAAAAACCAACTGAAATATATTAAATATACACAAAATATACACAATATATACACAGAATATAGAGACAGTATACATTTTAAAGTGACTAAGTGACTCGGTGTTATTGTTATTTAAAGTGACGTGGTACTTTTAAACCAAAGTATTTGTAATGATCCATAATGAATTTACTTCCAATATCTCTTATTAATAAATCAAATGGAAGTGATGTGGCAAGTGAACTAGAAGGCTCTCATTCAGTGCTCTTGTTTGGAGCACGAGACGCTGCTGCCACTCATCTGCAATAAAATGCACAGTTACGGTGAAATAAGATCCAGTGGTGATGGATGTCCACGCAGAATTGTCCCGTTCCACCTTAAATGGTGTCGCATTTACATTCGGCGCCTCAGTCAGAATTTAAGGTGGAACGGGTAAATTCGAATAAGAAGCGACTTCACCCTCGTAAAGCAGTTGAGAGACATTTTACATTTTTATAAGCTGCTCTAGTTTTGAATAAAAGTTTCCTAAAGGAAAGGAGAGGAAAGCGGCTAAAGCTTAAAGCAGAGTAAAGTAAATCTGCGCTCTCGTTTATATTGTTTAGTCTATACTAGGACATTAACACATACTGAGACATACTGGACATTAAATGTTGTGGCTCCCAAGCTGGTTTGATTTTTGTTGAAAGGACAAAATGGCTCTTCTTATCATTTGGGTTGTGACTCCTGACCTGACCTGGCTTTTGATGCAGAGGGAGCCGGTCGGATTTCTCACTCATCCAGTTGTGTTTTTGTTATGTGCCGCCACAGACTGTCCGGGCGCTGCACTTCCGCACTTCCAAGTTCCGCCTTTTGCGTTCCGTCAACATTACGTTATAAATTAAATATTTAGAAAATCGATTTTTGACATTTGTTAATCGATTCAGAATCGTTCATGTCCGCATCGCGATTCATCTAAGAATCGATTTTTTCCCGCACCCCTAATATATATATATATAGTATGTATAGTATGTATGAATGTATTATACTTGGTAATGGGCTTCCATATATACAAGACAAGAATGTACAAGTAAGTGTACAATCAACTACATATAATGCGTTACATTAAAATTGCTTTTTAAAAAATGTCAGCCAGTTGGTCAAAAAGTAAATATGTAAATAAAAACACAGAAAGAGACTGCCTAAAGCCTGTATTATCACTGTTTATGTTGGAAAAGTGCATGAAAAATTTAAATTTCACTCACTTCCATATTTACAGCAGCCTCAAGCTGATTTTTCCCCCCAAAGTCAAGTTTGAGAGCACACCTCTTTAGACCACTTGACACATTGAAAGACTACACATAGTTTAAGAGGAAGGTGATTCAAATATCTATAAATATAAAAATTACCTCTTTAATATGGCATGAGTAATGCTTTGTGGTCTCAAAACTGTCAAATTATCATTTTGAGGAGATCACAGTCAAGGTTTAAACAATCAGGTAGGAGTTTGCTCCTGAACAGTTCCATCAAAGTGAAGTCTGCTGGAGCTGGAGGACAGAAAGAAACACTCCATCCACTTACTGCCCTAAGACATGCTTTCACATGAGCCAGTTTCCTGTATGTGGATTAACTGTACTCTTGGGCTTAATTTCATTACAGATGGTGATCCACCACTGAAAATCCCTTTTAGTCTAGATTTAGGCTTAATCTGGGACTGGTAGTTTAGCTCAGTGTTCAGCTATGGACACAAAATTATGTATTTGGCTGTTAAAATGAGGAACAGGGATCAAATCCACAGCTTTCCAGGCTTGTTTGCCTGTCTGTTAATGCTTGCATCACTGGGTTCATTCTGTCCACATTAGCCAACCCTGGTGACAGTAAAACAATGCAACAAAGCTTCAGGACTATTCAGTGCCAGTCAGGCCACAGAGATGTTTGTGTGTAACAGGATTCTCTGGCTCTAGTGTACATGGTACGACAGTATCGCAGCTGCTGCCTTCCATTTTAGGCGGTAGCCGCGAACTGAAACACGGCAGCTAGCTTGCATGGTGGACAAAATATCTGTTCAGGCCAGTTGGGTTGCTGTTTTTTCGGGAAGCTGCTGTTCACTTTTGCTATTACAATGGACAGGGACCTGAATCTCAACAGGGCAGAAACCTTTTCCTTCATCAACCCCTGGATCCGTTATTTTCTGTTCTTCTTCAGCTTCTTATTTTGGGTAAGTGAAGCCACACAGCCCTCCCCCTCAAGTACCAGCAGTGGTTTTGAGCAACAACATGTTTCCAAAGTGCAGACTACAAGCTCTCAAGCTCCATGGAGAATTTACATATGAATAAAACATTATAGTGCAAATTGGATACTTTCCTATGTTCAAAATCATAGTATTGCAATAGCTGTTACAGTGTCCAATTACTTTTAATGTTTCAACATTTACATCCACCACTCATCAGGGTGGCTTCTTTCTCAGCTCTGAATTTACATACAATTGCAGTGGCCTTTTTTTGCATATGAAAAGCGTCGTAGCAGGAATAACAAATCCTCTGCAAAACTGCAAAGGGCTGCGTGTGCAGAGGAGGATACTAAACAGAAGAAAAAACCCTCCAGATTTTCCACATTATTTTTTTGCATCTCAAAGTGATGTTTGCGTTCATTATTTGTACAGACTGCTTCTTATTTGCTGTTACAGGCCAGTCGTTGTCACTCCAAATCCCCTAGGAATGGTCAACATGCAGTATCTGATTGACACTTGGTTAAGCAGCCTGTCTAACTGAGTTTGACTGACTGGCCCAAAGCTGCCTGTGATCAGTGTTCATTTTGCGACTGAGTGAGCGGAGCGAGCGGCCATGTGTTGGGCTGTATGTGTGACAGCATGGCACGCTGCAGAGGCCCGCGCATCGAGCCAGGCTGGATTGCCACCGCCAAAATCGTCCTTGCTCTGTTTGTTTACTGCAACCCAGGCCCCTGGACTCAATGCTGCAACGTAATCCATCAGCCCTTTGTTCCAGTCGCACCAGCTTTCTGGATTTTTCAGCCACACAGCAATCCTTTTGGGCAGGGGGGAAAACAAATGGTGACATTTTACAGTAGGGCAGTGTTCATAAAGTGGCACCTACATAAATCTTTCGTGACAATTCACACAGACCTACATAAACATTTATAAACACTTATTCCAATATTGGTCACTTGTCATAAAGGCTGCAACTAGCAACTTTGATGTCAAGTTGAGAACATCTATGTCAAGTAAAGATTTATTTCTGACATTAGGCCATTTCACGAAATTTTCTGGGGCGAAGTAACATTTGGAAGCTCAGTGTGTGTCACAGTGACATAATACAGATAATATGACAGCTTGTCTAGTCTGGACAGCTGAAAAATGAGCATTTTCTGTGGCTCTTACGTAAAGTGTGCTTCATTTTACCATTCCTAAGTTTTAAGCTATGGCACATCATCAGCATTATGTCTGTGCCATAAACATTAAGCAACAAAGTCAGTTATAACATGTTGTAATGTAACATGTTATAACAAGTGTAATGAAACAAAACAGAAAAGTCAGAAAAAAATGATGTCACCTGTGTTGTCAACTTGACGTCAAGCTTTACAAAAGCATCCTTTATGAGAGACGACACCTGTTTATAAATGTTTATGTCGATTCACATCAGTTGTCATGATGAACTTGTAGGTGTCTTGTAGCCTTAAAATTGCCTGAATAGTAAAGTCTTACCAAACAAGTTCACATACTCTTTAAAAAAGAAAGGTTCCTAAGTGGTTCTTGGCTCTGATGCACAGTTCTAGGACATACCTCTAGTTATTATAGAACCCATACATTGTGTGGATGTTCTTTAAACTTTAAAAAGGCTCTTTGGGCTTGCACATCTCATTTACAAGCATGGTTCTTCAAAAGAACCATTTATTAAAAAGACAGTTAGGAAAGTACACTTTGTTCTTCTATGGTATCGCTTCAGAGGACCCCGTTTGGAACCTTTATTTTTAAAGGTGTAAAAGCAAAACTGCACTGGTGGTGGTTTACTTATTACAGAGAATTGCTCGGACCAAATGAGCCACTTGTCTCGCTGGCACTGTGAAATCATCTCCATCTCTGTTCTTTGAATAACTCACTCCAAGGAACAGCTCTGATGAGACTACACATTTTGTTTCACATTGCGTGAGCAGATAGCGTCCACTTGAATTCATCTATTCCTGTTGCATTCACATAAAGCTATCCATATGGGATTATCAGTGTCAATGGAAAAGCTTTGCCAGTGTCTGTCACTTGTTATATGCATGAATGAATGTCATTTATACATATAGCTGCACTTGATTACTGACTTTGAGAGAATGCCTTCCATTGTAGGCAGCGGCTAACTGAAACACGACAACTAGCTTGTATGGTGGACATAATGTCCGTTCAGGCCAGCTGGGTTGTTGTTTTTTCTGGAAACTGCTTGTCACTTTTGCCATTACAATAGACAGGGACCTGAATCTCAATAGAGCAGAATTCTTTTCCTTCATCAACCTGTGGATCTGTTACGTTCTGCTCTTCTGTTCCTTTCTGTTTATCTTCATTCAGGTAAAACTATCTACTTGGGATTATCAGTGTCAGTGGAAAAGCTTTGCCAGTGCCCATCACTTGTTATATGCATGAATGAAAGTGATTTGTACATATGACTGCACTTGATTACTGACTTTGAAATTGCTGAAAGAATGTATTCATGAAAATGAAAAGGCTGAATTACTTGCACAGATAATTTTCGCAGCTGTTCATCTCGCACGTTAGCTCAGCCAGACCACTTCAGCTATAGCCCAGGAGCTGGGTGGGGTTCAGCTGGCTGATGAGGGATGATACCTTTGTCAGCTCTGCACACTGTGCTGCTGTAAAAGCATAAGGGAAATGGATCTAAAGCTTAATCTCTTTTCTCAAAGAAGAGGTCCTACTGTTGCTTTCCCTGGAACAGATAAATCTTGGTCCAACACAGCAGGGATTTTTAATGTAGATTCACCACTGACAGCATAATTTATTGCAGAACTAGGCCTTGTCTGGGAAAACAGTGTTTAGGGGTTAAACCTCATGACTTTAATGTGAATGGTGCCCAGCTGAAAACATCAATATTGTTATCTCATGCTCAGCAGATAAAGTGTTTTCCCCAACATAATCACCTGGCGATATCTCCAGAGATGAATGGAAAAAATCCTGGTTTGTCCTCTGGTGGGCTTTGTAAATTCATGCATCTGCTTTGCACCTCTTATCTCTGTGGCTGAAAAAGGAGATCCTCTAAGACATAACCAACCTGATAAACCCTGAACCCAGTAGGCTATGTTAAAAAAGAATAAGATAAAAACTGAAAGGGAATATTCTATTAGCAGTAGTTCTCAGAATCTACTTGTAAAATTCAAGCTACAAGTTGGAAAAGTTTTCTTTTTTAGAAGTGTAAGAATGGCGTAGCTGTTGCCAAATTGACTGTTTTTACTACTGCAGTTAGTTCTGCATACTAAGACAGAAAAATGTATCATTATTACTATTATTATTATTATTATTATTATTATTATTATGTGCTTCAAGATTCAGTCATTTATCACTCAAGACTGATGTATCACTTCTCTTTCAGGTGTTCTCCTTGCTTATTGTTGCTATAGGAGTATATGCTAAAGCCCAAAAGGCAACAGGTATGGAAAAAACTTTTTAATTTCTCTTATAAGCTTCTTTTAAATCTACATTCATTTATCAAAGCTTGTGTGATACAATAAATATTTAATTCAGAGCTATTTGGATGTCTAGGCTAAGCTGCAGATACTGCATGGTCAGTTGGGTTTGTGGGTTCTTCACAGACACAGTTCGAGATGCGTTCCTCATTGATCCAGCCATCATTTTGATAGTGGTGGGTGTTGTCATGTTTTTTATCACCTTCTGCGGATGCATCGGAGCGCTACGAGAAAACATTCACCTCCTTAAAACAGTGAGGACATGCTCTAATTGCTTTGGAAAGACTGTAGAAGTACTTACTGTTGCTGCCAGGCTAATGCTTACTGCCATCTTCCTCTCCAGTTTTCATTTAGCCTCACCCTGGTCTTCCTCACCCAGCTGGCCATAGCAATCCTGGGATTCTTCTATTCTGACCAGGTAGATCTTAAAAATGAGTCATCTACATACTCATTTACATAATTAGATCTGTCATACCCCATTATTTAATCATTACCCCCAATTATGAGTGTCAGTGCTTTCAGTGAGACTTTTTCCCCCTACATCTAATCACCACTCCACTCTACTACTCACAAACTGCCAGTTTAGGCTAATGCAGACAAAAAGGCAGATAAGATAGGGACCCGACCGGTGCAACTGTCAAAGCGCTGGCTTTGTCATCAGAAGATCACAAGTTTGAATCCCAGTGATGCCACAGCTATCTGTGGCCAGGAGTCCAAGAGAGCATAACTGGCATTGCTCTCTCTGGGTGGGTAGGATGGCCCTCCTACTACCCTCATCATTCAGCGTGATACAGGCCAAGTCATAACACATCTCAGAGCAGTCTCCTCCAAGTTACATTAGCAGCAAATCATAAAGATGTTGTTGGGGGAAGTATGTGCTAGCCTTCATCCTCCCAACTTGGCAGAGGCATAGCCAAGGGGTGACCAGTGTCTGGAATGAAGCACGACCACCCTTCTGGCCACTTCTTCTAACATCAGTTATGCTTTATAGTGAAAATCTGCCATCAGGGTAGATACCAGTCAGTTATAAGAGTATGACACTGCATTGAATAATTAGAGTATCTTGCTTGATAAGCTAATTTACAGCAAATGGGCAAGTGAATGTGTTCTGGATCCATTCAGCAATGGTGCTCTGTGATTTACATAATAAAGTAAACTGTTTGATGGTAAGATGAGTTAGCTAGGAAAGATTAGGGAATTATAATCATTTATCATGCTAATTTCTTTTTAGAATTGAGTGTACCCATGCGGTGTAAGTTACCTTATACAGTGGCTGGCTGGCTGTGGTATATAATCTGTATTGAATGCATCCCAAATTAATAACCTCTGTGGCCTGTCTATATGAAATGTTTTTTTCTTAAAGTTAACACTGTGCATTAAAAGAAGTAATACGTTTAATTTACTCCATTGAAATACATTGTTTACTCATGAATGACTAAAATACGTTTCATCACCACAGTTATGTCTTTCAGTTTACTTTCAGCAATAGTTTTATTGAATTAATTGAATTAATATTTTATTCACGTGGAATTGATGGACAGATTTATTTAGGCATGGAGAAAAAACCTTTTTATATCATTTTAATACCCCCCCTCCCCCATTAAATCTCTGGGTCTTACCTGGCCACCCCATTCTAAAAGTTCTAGCTAAGCTCCTTCAGCTTGGTAGCACCTAGCTAGTTGGTGAAATTGGTAATGACGACATTTGGAAACTATGATATAAAAAATGTATAATAATAAAACCCCAGCTGGGCCCGTTGTGATACTGCACTCTATTCTGTCTTTTAGCAATTATCAGTCAAGCTCTTGTTTCAGCACTACTCACAATTAAGTGCTGTGGCTCCTCAGTGTGGAACCATGGGTGCTTTTCTACTGAGCCACTTCCAGGCCTCTTTGAGACATAATGCTGGTGTGATGGAGGGAACATAAAATTGAGATCTCTTTTGGTAGACGATTAATTACCACACTAAAGCATATGTTAGCATACCCGTCATACCACATTAGCCCTGCCGCTAGCAAATACAGTACGGCCATCCGTAAGGGCCAACATGTTTCCCAAAAGACATCTGCATATGCAACAGGCCAAACAGATGCAGGCGAATTTAAAAGATGTGTGGAAATAAACACGAGGCATCTCATTGACTCTACAGACGCAGGATGCTCTGGGGAGGTTTGTGAAGAAAGCCATTGTGCATTACCGTGATGACCTGGACCTTCAGAATCTCATGGATTACATTCAGAAAGAGGTAAACAAGCAGTCATATTCAATTCAATTCAATTCAATTCAATTCAATTCAACTTTATTGTCATTATACTGAAACAGGGTTGTACAGTACAACGAAACACTTTTAGGCTAGATCTCCAGTGCAATTACAGACAACATAGTGCAAGACAGGACATAGTGCAGGGACATAGAACAATAAATACAGAAAATAAATACAAGTATATACACTGCAGTAGGTGTGCTGGTACTTTAACAGCACCATGGTCCTCAGTACTCACTGCACTTAGCAATGAAATGAAAATTTTCCTCATTTTTTTTTAAGTAAAAGAGTAAATAGTATGTAAACATTGTTAAAGCTTCCATATAGTCCATATATGGAAACTACACCTATTCGGTCTACAGCATTTTAGCTTCACCCATTGACGCTGAAGTTATAAGGAGTGTTTCAGCTAGGACTGTTTTTTAAATGAAGCGCAATACAGGGCAGCCAATTATAAGAGGTCATGTATCGGTCTTAAGATACAGTAACAAAAGCAGCCTATTTAATTCTAACGAGAGGTTAGAAAATTAATTGTGACTGTTTTGGTACATAAAACTATAGAATTATAATAAGTGACGAAAAAATAAAATACAAGGAAAAGGTGGGATATGGATTCTTTAGAACAGTTCTTTTTAGTGAGTCTGTTTATTTTGTCCAGTAAACTGAAATTATTCAAATCTATGTGGAACTGTAACAGGCTATTTAAACAAAGCTGTGATCTGGGGGGCATTTTGCGTTTCACAGTCAGCATGTTAACAGAATCTTTTGAGACACTGCACAGAGCAGCTGCACAGGGAGCAAATTTGCTTCTGGATAGAAAGTCTTTTAAAGTCAGTTTTACTGATAGCCCTAACTGTGAAATAACCCTTCAGAGACACTTTAAGCATCCCAGCCATTGGCTAGTTGCCATCATAAACAGTTTTGTGATAGACTGCTTCATTATTGTTAGCATTAGCATTGGTAATATTGACTAGAGCAGGGGTGTCAAACTCAACCAGTAAAAGGGCCATATTAAAAAATCTCATCAAAAATGTTTTTATTTCATTTTTAATGAATCTTGTGCTATAACCTGAACCGGCCATTGTTTATTCAAAATATGCAAAAACTTTAATGGTAAAATACAGACTGTTTTTATATACAAGTGTTTATAGTGGTTGAACTGCAGCTGAAATACATTTTGGTTATATGACAGGTGTGGAATTGCGCAGAATTGTGTAGAACTGAGGTTTAACCGCTGTCCAGTAGATTGTTGTTGGGGTAGGAAAGTCGGAGCACATTATGTTGCAGTGCATTGTCAAATGGGCTAATATTAATAGAAAATTAAATTACTTTTGCGGGCTGGATAGGATTGTGTGGCGGGCCTGATCTGGCCTACGGGCCTTGTGTTTGACACATGGGGACTAGAGAAAGGAGGACTTAGCAACGGCATTCATGTCTGCAAAGTGGGAGAAAAAGCAACGTTTAGACTAAGTGATTCAGTATGCGCACTGGAACACATTTCATTGATTTGTTTCAGAAAGATTCAGTTGTTCAAGTACTGCACATCAGCAAATATAGTGCTTTTTGAATGGTTGTTTAGATGTGCTATAATACAAGGCCCAATGTGCATCTCTGTTTCTCTGCAACTCTCAGCGTCTCTCAAAGTGATGGGTAATTCATGGGACAAGCAAAACACAAAGTGCAAAGTGAGTGCATGACTTGACTGTCTAGTGTCTGATAATATTCATGCTCCCTCTTCTCCTGTCCAAACTCTGAGTTCAAATGCTGTGGCTGGAACAACTACACCGACTGGTCCTGGAATCTGTATTTTAACTGCAGCCAGGGCAACCCCAGCACAGAGAGATGTGCAGTGCCTTTCTCCTGCTGCACCCCAGTACCTGGAGAGGTGAGCTCAAGCTGTTTTCTTAATTATATGCTTATTATATAAGTCAGTAATTATGGAAATTTATAAGAGCGCTGCGCATAAGCATCTCTAGTAGGCCTACAGACAGAAGAGTAAAGGTCCCATCACAATACTGCATACCTAATAACTTTTAGACAAAGATAAATTCATGCAATAATAGTGTTGTTCCTCTATGATCCTGATGGTTAAACCCACTGTCCACTGTAGTCAAAGAACTAATCTCAAAACTTGAAGTTGAAACATTACTGCCATCTGCTGTTCATGTACAAAAATTCCTCAGAGGAAAGAGGGAGAAACGAAGAAAAATTTCTAAAATTTTTCTCCATATTCTTTTAGAGTGTAATCAATACCATGTGTGGTTTTGGGGTTCAGACCCAAAAGTACTTGGAGGCTGCCAGGTCCATCTACCCTGTAGGCTGTGCAGACAGAGCAGTGATGTGGATTGAATCTCATCTTCTCCTAGTTGGGGCACTGGCTTTGGGTCTGGCTCTGCCACAGGTAAGACAATCAGTCCTAGACACAATGCCTCTTCTAGCACATTGATATAATTGTATTTCCAATCCTTTATGGTAATGCTAGACAAGACTGATCATTCAAGTGGTTCACAGAAATTTCTAGATGAGACCTTTTTCTTCAGCTTGTGCTGTGAGTTCTTATCCTTGTAGCTGAGTGGATTCTTACCTATTCCATCAAATACATTGATGTTTAAGCTGAAGTGAAAGCCCTACAGTGAGCGAGGCGAGCACGTCTGCACGTTTCTGTTCTATTTTGTGGATGATTCAAGAGCAACATCTGAGCATGTTTTGCAATCACAAGCATAAAGCCACACTGATTTTAGTACTTGCTTAACAGATCCAGTTGCTTTTTTAGAAATGGAATAGCAAATCAGTGAAGCAGCACTTAAAGGGGAATTCCACAGACCATTTCACATTTTCAACATTTCTACATAATTACTTTGTTATTTAGTGTGATTGGCTATGAAATGCTCTGTTCAAGAGAAACGTACTGAGTCAGAATTGTTGACAGTGCTGTTGATAAGACCTCTGAAGAGTTGAATGCCTCTAAGAGCTACCTCCCAGAAGGATATTACATGAACTGGTTACAAATATGATGGCTTATGTCTGAGACACTGTTTTAGGATAGTTCTGAGAGAAGGTTTATGCATTTTTAAGTAATTTATTAATGGTGGAGAGGTACATGAAGGGCACTGTAAGGCAAAACAGTCCCCAAAAACCACCATCATCAATATGACACATGAAAATTCGGAAGACATGTAGGTTTGCTGGTGGTTTTGGATAGTACATAAAATCGCTATATTTGCATTGTAGACATCACAACCCTTGATTCCTCTCACAATCACTGTAGAGTCAGTTTCTCCAGAACAAACTATTTCACATCGAACCACTCTTAATAACTTTGTTTACATCTCAACCATTGAATTACACAGAAATTCAAAAATTGGTTTTGGTCATGTTCTTTGACTTAAAATCTGTTAAACACCAACTCAGCTATGTCCTAATCAATCAAAGTATACCTGGGTTGAGCTCTGAACCATAATTTCACAGGAAATTCAGAAAAGTCTTCCTTTCCGATCATGCGGGAAAAGACAAAAATAAAATGAGAAACACAAAATAAGGCCCTGTAATTTATAACACGCACATGTATTCTCACAGTGCACCAGCCAAATACGCTCAACCACAAAGAATGTGTGCATACCTTATGTTGAGGAAGTTCACATCAAACCTGATCCAGCTAATCAAGGTCTACAGGAGCATCAGGAAGCAGATATGACAATAGCACTGGAACTGGGTTCTCTAAGGAGATCTCCAGGATCACTTTTATGAGCTGCCGATGTGCTCAATTATAGTTACACTTACTTTGTACACCATACCATGCATGATAACCTCATGGTAAATAAATATACAAAAACAAATAGTCTAGGCACCCTTAACTAGTTGAGCAACTTGTAAGGCTTGTAAGGCTCCTGACCTCACTCTTGTTCTTGTGGTTGGCAGATTGCAGGCATCGTGCTGTCTCAGATCCTCATCTCTCAGATCCAGAATGAGATCAACTCCATGCTGTAGAGATCACAGCAGAGAGGACTCCACAGCCAGCTCCATTACAGTTAAAACAATTATTTATACATATCATTTTACATTTTTTTTTAACACTTTCCCTCCCAGGTTTTGAGATGCTGTAAATTGTCTGCTAACCAACATAAAATTATAAATACAAAATCAAGATTTTTAGTGCTTTATTAAACTGCATTTTCTGAACATCCAAAGAAACATTCTTTCCACCTTCAACCAATTAACCTGAACTAAAAACGTCTGGTCTAAGACACTGATTTTTTTTTTTACAATTGCAATTATTAGTATTAGTACATTAAAATCACATTTTCTATACTGAGATGGAAGGAATGGTGACTATTTTTGAGGTAATGTATAAGAATTGTGAGTTAAATATGTAGAGAATGGGCTCTCTGGATCAGTCGATCAGTGAGAGGGGAGTTTGGTCTCGCTGCATCTCTTTCAACCAGAAGGCACCTGGACAAAAGAATACAAATAACTAGATGCTGTGCTGCAAAACATGAAATGTATTAAAGCTAGTGTTAAAACTTACAGAGGAATTCTATCAATTTTTCTAAACTTCTGCATAATTCATTCAGAGTAGTTTGATGTGAAACGCGCACCTCCAGAGAAACATACTAACTGTTCACAGCGGTGGTGATAGGAACCAGACGTTTAAATGTTTAATGCTTCTATAAGTTGCCTCACAGAAAACACAAAATGGTTACACATACATTGCCTCATGCGTGTGACATTGTTTTGGCCTAAAACATATTATTGAAGACCATTCATGGCGAAGAGATACATGCAGGGCATTGTAAGACAAAATAAAACTTCACTGGTTCACTATTGTTTTAGAAATGAAAATGGCTGTATCTGCAATATAGACATTGCGACCCCTGGTTCCCATCACCATTATTGTAAGGAAAATAAGTTGGTCTACATTCAACTTTTACCTTTTGTAAATGACTTTGTTTACATCTCAATAATTGAATTATGCAGAATTTTTTAAATTACTCTTTAAAAGAGTAATTAGTCTCCAACTTAATTATGAGTTTATGGGCTATGTCTGACCTGGCAAATCTTTGATGGTACTTGTCTTCTGACTTCAATGCAGCATGAATGATTAGCTGGCTGAACACATCCCTCTATAAAAGATGACAAGTAAAAAAATGCTGGTTCCTCAGAAGAGTTGTAATACAGAAGAAAGTAAACAGATGTGGACTGCATTTCCCAAAAACAACAAACCATTACTATACAGAAGAGTGACAATCACTTTGAATGTCTGTATCAAATATGCATGTCTCTTGTTTTAGAAAAATTCTGGGAAACACAGATGGGATCCTTTTTATGATGTGAGGTTGTTATGAGACTGACCTGTGCATCACTGCCCCCTATCTCCGTGAAGTGGTATCTTAAAGGTTTGAGCAGTTCCACGGTCTTGCTGTAGTTGCCTTGGTCATATTCCACTAATGCCTGACACATGGGCAACCCAATAGTCTCAGCAATCTGGAACTGGTGATTCTCTCCTGGCTCTCTGAGGACAGAAGATGTAAAGTTGGAGATCCTATTAATGGACCATTCACACTTTTATGACTTGCTGTAAAAACGTGAGTAACATCTTCTATTGAAGCAGCACTACATAATTTGTTTTTGTTAAAACTAAAAGAAGTAGCATTACTGAGTCAGGAGGAAAAAAAACAAATATGGTGTGCGTGTACTGCTGCGAGTCACTCTGTAAATCATGAAATAGTGATTTAAATGTCAGAGGTGTTGGGTTAGATTTTGTGGGAGTTCTTTGGACCACATCATGAGTCTTTACATATTAATGTTACACGCACAGAGTCAAAAAAGAAGATATGCCTTGCTGTTTGTCACAAACAAAAATCAACATTATACTGGTGAAGATATAACATTACATAATTTACTTACATCCTCAGAAGACAGGCTGTTCATCAAGTTTTGACTGAATTTTCTTTGAATGCTCTTTTGACACGCTTTCAGATGTCAGTTTCATCCACCTTTGCAATTACACATTTCAACCAGAGAGGTCTCCAAATCCCCAAATGTTGCATAGTGCAGCTTTAAGTTTCTCTCATTTACCCTCAAACCCTTATGTTTTTTGCAAACGCCAACAGAAAAAAGGAGAGAGTAGAGGGTCATGTAAAATTTTCTCCTCCTGAGAAAGAGCTTTCCAGTATTGAACAGATGCTGCACTCAAAAGTTGCTCTCGGAAGATTTCTTCCAGTCATGTCAGATTATAAAATATGACACTGCCACAAGAAATCTTTTTCCTAGTACTTTTCACGTTTTATTCTTCATTTCTCAATGAAATCTTTACAGATTCTAGCTATGGTCCAGCTGTCAGGGTAAACTGTAATTGCATACTGCATGCATGCAGTCATCCAGTCTGAGAGAGTTTCTCTCCCAGAGCAGAGACCTACTCAAACTCAATCTCACAGCTAGTCAGTGGGCTCTCCAGATAACACCACAGCCTAAGCCCCCACGCTTCCCTTTGCTTTTGCTGTTATGTAAAGGCTCCCAAGTGCATTACATAAGAAGAAAGCAGCTCACTTGGCCAGCTCTCGCAGGCTCTCCAGCAGACGCTGCGTGGTGCCTGTGTCTTTGCAACCCAGCGACACCATAAGGAAGTGCAGGTCATTGAAGAGAAGAGTGTGGTCTTCTGAGTGTGGCTCGGTCACCTGCAGCAGCTCCCGGTAACGGTCCTTAACACTCACACCTACCATGGGAGGATACACATATGTATGCTAACACAACATACTAGGTAGATGACTGCAATATAAGAATATCTGTGACTGTGAAAAGAAAGTGACACGTCCACTCCCAAGTCAGCTCATTTCCCATAAAGTCATGAGTGACTTTGTATGCAGGGTATATATACCCAGTGACACATGGGGGCACTGGCCACTGGGGCCTTTGCTAGAGGCCTTTTGGAGGCTCAAATACTTGGGGCAATCCACTCCAGATATTAATAGATGAACGCAGAGCCCTTGAACATGTTCAAATGAGTAAATAAATAAAATGAATAAAGAAATGTTTTCTGTTTTCAAGCCTGTTTTACATTCTCAATAATTATTGAATCACTGAATGTTGTTGTTGCCCTTCCATGTGTGAAAGGCTATTTCTGCATTTGCCTATGACTCAAAAGCTAATACGACAAAGACAAAAGAATATTGTGCATTAATACGGCTAATTTTCAGCCAAAAAATTCCAGTGTTGCTCAAAACGTACATAAATAGGAACATGGAATTGTTTAATCTCACTTTTCAGGTCTTTTTTATTGTATGTGTAAGAGTCTAAAGACTCTTATACCTAGGGGCCTTACATGACAATAGTTCGACCTGGTGTATACTCAATAGCTGAGTTCCAAAAAGCTAGGCTGTAGTCTAGGTGGGCTGCATTTCCAGACCACTACATCACTGAACGCTGTTCCAATCAGAAGGATCCACTGAGAAATGCAGCCTACATTCTGAAAAGTTTCAAGGACACTATAGGAGTATCCTTTATATTCTTTTATTGTACATAACATGTTGCACTACATGTTGTTTAAAAGGGCAAGTGTATCTGTTTAATGGGAAATTACGCAGAATTTTCTACAGTTCTGTAAAATTAAACTGATAAGCAGTAAACAGTCATTTAGAGTAGTTTGATGTGAAATGCTCCATTCGTACAGAGTCAGAGTTTGTTCACGGTGGTAAGGATAGGAACCAGATGTCAGAAGAGTGTAATGCCTGTAAAAGCTATCTCACAGGAAGTTATTGCAAAAAAAAAAATAAAGAAAGAAAGTGTACACAAATGCTGCCTGGTGCCTGTGACATTATTTAACAGTAGTTTTTAGATTAAGCACTTTTCTTCTAAAAGTAATGTTAAGTCCATACAGGGCACTGTAAGGCAAAATAGTACCCAATAAAATCTTTTTTTTTTCAGATTTACAACTATTTTACCATCACCTACACCACATTTAAAAACTCACAGGACTCATGCAGTTGCACTAGTCCTTTTTGGAAAGTAAATAAAATAACTATTTGTGTTGGCAAGTTTCTTTACAATGAAGCACTTCACCATCAAACCACTCTGATAATCTTAACAATTTAATTTTGCAGACAATTTGAAAAATTGGCCGAATTCCCTTTAAGAATGTTAAGAATTGGGCACTCTTGATGTATGATCACTACCTTGAGGTCCAAACTGATCAATATACTCAGGAAGGTATGTACCCAGACATCATGCTGAGCTGAGAAATGTGTGTTCTGTTTGTGTGAGAGAGAGATTTGACGTGCTAGTTTCCTGTGTTGTATTTAGAGGGTAGTGATTGTGCCTCACCCTCCATTTCAAGCCTGTAGAGCATAGAACAGGCATCCACTGTATCCAGCATGGCTCCAGACTTTAAACAGCGACGGGAAACCTGAAGCATTCATACATGGACTGACTGACATACATGGAAAAATTACTAGCATTTTTATAAATTATAAATTCTCAGTTATACAACTACTAAGCTGTCAAAAAATACATATGGTTCTCAAAAAAGGTAAATGTACTGCTACAATTAGAGCCAGAGAGAGTAAAGTTCTGTTACAGAATGGATCTGAGTTATTTCTGTGACACAGGATACTGTAGTCCATTATACCATGATACTGTGTATAAGGTGCAGACATCCAGTATCAATAACAGTATCTCCACATACAATAGTCAAATGCTCAGGCACTTGACATGGACACCTGAGCTTCAAAGTTAAGAAAGTAAATATGACTTGCATGACACCAACCATACAGCCATTCACATTCTAAATGACACATACCACTGCTTTTACTCCTCTTCCTTAGCTATGGCTGCACATTATAGCACATATAGATCTATGAGCAAAGGTTTTCAGAGCACTAACCTGTTCATCATAAATTTTCAGAGCAGCTTCATATTCTCCCTGAGAATCACAAACACAGAACATAGAATATGAAAATCATTCATTCAAAACTTGTACAACTGCAACAATTCATAATTCACTAAGTGCATTCAGACAGAAAACTAAACAATAAGAAAAAGAAACAACAGCCTACTTGATTTAAGTTTTTAATCATTGTGATGTATCTTTGGGTCAAGGAAT